GGGCGGCGCCGAGGAGGCCGCCGCTGCTGCCGCCGCCGCCGCGGCAGCCGCGGAGGCCGCGGCGCTGCTGTTGAGGCCGGCGGCGGCGGCGGCGGCGGCGGCGGGCGACTGGTAGAGGCCCGGGTGGCGGAAGCTGCACAGCAGCTCGGGCCGCGAGTAGGGGTGCGAGAGCGCGCGGAAGGTGTCCAGCGGGCGGATGGAGGTGGCGAAGGGCGAGGCGGCCGCTCCGGACGCCGCCGCGGCCGCCGCGGCCGCCGTCACCCCGACGTGCGGGTAGTAGTGCAGAGGCACGTGCGAGTGGAAGGGGTAGGGCAGGCTCCCGGTGGCCGCCGCGTGGGTCATCATGTACGTGTAGAAGCTGGGGTCCGCCGGGTGGGGCCAAGACATGGCCAGCCGCTGCCGCTTGTCCTTCATCCGCCGGTTCTGGAACCACACCTGGGGGCGGGCGGGGCGGGCGGGGGCGCGGGCGGGCGGCGAGTGGACGAGACAGGGGGGGAGAGAGGACACGACGGCTTTAGACGGCAGCACTTCGCAAGCAGCACGCCCCCCTCCCCTCCCCTCCCCTCGCCTCGCCTCCCCTCCCCTCGCGCTTCCACAGGCCGCGGCCGTGCGGGGCTGCCGGGGCCGTGCGCCTCCTCGGGCCTCGCTCCCCGCCCGGCCTGCGGGCGCCGCCTGAGCATCGCCCGCCGCAGGCGCCGGGGGGCCGTGCCCTGGGCCCGGGCCTGCGGCACAGCGCGGGGCAGAGGCGAGGTTTCCGCGGCAGCGCCCGGGTTTAGGCCGGGATCAAGGCTCGGAGGACTCGCGGCACACGCGGTTCGTGTTTCCCGTGCGCACTGAGGGGAAGCGGGAAGCCTTCCGCCGCCTCTCCGAGCACCTTTGGAAACCATTTGTCTCTCGAGTGTCCTCGCTCTAATGGTTTTAACGGAAAGCTCCCCTCCCCTCTTTCCACACTGAAATGTAATCAGGAACGGCACCGCTCTCCCCGGGCGAGGCGGCAGGCCAACCAGGCTGAGCGGAAGCGCGGCTTTGGCTTTGGCTTTGGCGAAAGCAAGGAAGTTTTAAACTTTCACACAAACCGGATTTCAAATTAGGTTGCAAGACAGGGTCAACGACAAATTTTCCAAAGATCCAAACCGCAGTAAGGCTAATTCCTCAATGATATGGAAAGGCTGAGGGTTTTACCCACGGAACGAACAAAACACCCTTTACAAGGAAACGCCACTATCTTTCCACGGCTCCTTCAGTTCATCATCCCCCCTTTCCAGCTGATATTTAATTGAGCCAATTATTCAAAATAATTCTTTCCAAAGATATAAGACAGTAATCAATGGTTTTTTTATAACCTTGAAAACCGAACACAGTGTTAGTATTATGAACGCATTTAGACGGTCATCCCTTCTCCCCTGTTTTTGTATACTGCCTTTATTCTGAGTATTGGGAACGGAGTTGGGGTGGCTTTAATATCACAAAGGGCCCCGTCACTTTAACTGCAATCCTATACACATTTATCTAGGAGTAAATCACAGGCTTTTCTGGGACTTACTTTCGAGTAGATATGGATAGAATTATTGTTACATCTTCATTGAGTTGGTGTAAAATAAACTCGATAGAAAGGTATCCTAAATGTCTCCATTAAGTTGCCTATTCTACCAACTTTTGGGGGTAAAATATATTTCATTAATTGCCTTTCCCCCTTTTTCAGCTCTTTGACCAAGTGAAAAACGATTAAGAGGAGGAAAAGAGTTGTCTACGCCTGAAGAAGGAAGGAAGGAAGGAAGGAAGGAAGGAAGGAAGGAAGGAAGGAAGGAAACCAACGAACGAGGGAGAGAGGTGGAGAGCGGGAAAGACAGCGGGAAAGACGGACAAGAGCTAAGCGGGCGGATGGGAGCGCTGGCCTCGGGGTGCCTGCGTCCGCTGGAGCGCAGCGCTCGGCCCTGCTTGATCTGGGCGCCCCAAGGCGCGCGCGGCCCCGCACGGCCTCCTCGGGCTGGTGGTGGCCGGAGAACGAGCAAGCGCGCCGCCCGCCCGCCCGCCGCCCGCCCCTCGCCCCCCGGTACCTTGATGGTGGTCTCGGGCAGGTTGAGCGCGGCCGCCAGCTCGCAGCGCCGGGGCCGGGACACGTAGTTCTCGCGGTAGAACTCCTTCTCGAGGCGCGCGATCTGCTCGCGGGTGAAGGCGGTGCGGTACCGCCGCACCTGGTCGGCTCCCGAGCTGGAGCTGCTCAGGGCGCTCCCGCCGTGCAGGCTGCCCAGGCTGGAGGCCGAGGTGGTGGTGCTGGGCGCCGAGCTGCCCTCCGGGTAGCCTGCCGAACACAAGGCAGCAGAGAGGCGCTGATTTCCGGGGAGGGTTCGCGCGTAACCCGGCCTCCCTCTCCCTCTGATAATTAATGCTGGCTGTCATGGATACAAATTGCCCCGTTAATAGAATCAATAAAAGTTTCTCTCCGTCTTCTCCTCCTCCTCCTCCTCCACCACCTCTCTTTCTTCTTCTCTTCTTTCTCCCTTTCGCTTTTCAGATCAGTGCATAAAACCAAAGGATGCCAAGAAAACCAAATATCCTTTTCAAAGAATAAAAATCGATCACTAACAGATTCTACTCTTGGCAACCAATTCCCCAAAGAAAGTGAGAGTTTTCCCAAAACCTTGGCGCTGAGATTTGCTGTCTCTTGCTGTGCACGCTTGCCTTCCTCGTTTTTCATTTCACAGGCACCAAGTTGTGGCTGTAAAGTGAACAACGTGCCTCTTTGGACTGTAAATTAGTGCTCTGATAGGACACCTTTGGTACAAGGTAAATCTCCCCGCAGTCCAGAAAGAAACCATCTGATTGGTGATCATAATTTTGCAAGCGGCCTTGGTTAGGATTTGTTTCCATGCAGACTTTGGAAAAGTTGCTAGATGATTCCAGGGATTATGATGTATTGTTTCTAAAAGTTAAGAACGCCGAGGGAACCATTCTTTGCAGGGCAGAGGAAAATAAGAACACAAAATAAATGGACCATTTTTTCGAAGGACATCCGTGCTGACAGAATGCATCAAACAGAAAGTCTGATGCACGGGCATTTGCTTCAGTTAAAAGAAACATCCAGATACACTTTGTGTAAACTGCACCGAAGGAAGTATAAATACAATGTCAAACTGCTGTCTGGGAGATGGCCGCTTATAAACACTCTGTTATAAATACACTGTACGAAAATTGCTGGAGAGGCACCTGCCTGCACTTGCAATCGAAAAACAGACTGTCCAATTACTCTGTGGGTGACACTTGGTTCTGGGAATAACCAGCGCGAATTCCGTAGGAGAAATACCCAGATGCACTTAGCCCCTGATGGACACAAGAAATACACCAGCTCCGCTCGGTATGTTGTGAGCTGCTCACTTCGGCACCACAGCACAAATCCCAGCCCAGACTGAATCCCACCGAGCGATGGATACTCTACCTGGCGTGCCCCTCCGCGGCGTGTGACCTCCGCAGCCGCCTGCACGTACTGCCGGCTGCGTATCCACACTCCGGAAAGGGCCATCCTGCACCCCGGGAATGGTTACACTGCCTTTGTGAGCTGCGCGGGCTTACAGCAGGCAGAACCTCTCAAGCAAAAACTGAATTCGGAACGAAAGGGCGCATTTTTTAAAGGGAAGGGGGAAAAGGAAAGCTCGAGGGCTGGTTCTGCTGAACGCTTAGATGCACTCATCCACCCCCCCCCCCGCTTTCTTCTTGCCCCAGTAAACGCCCGCTTTCGGGCGGGGGCCGACCTGGAGAGAGGGCGAGGGATGGGGTTACCTTTGCTATTGTTTTCCTTCAGCTGGGAGGAAGCCAGGCCGGTGGGCGAGCGGAGCGCGGAGCAGCCCACCTCCGCGTCGCTGCTCATTTCTGCCTCTTGAGCGATTTCTGAGTAATGGCTGATTTTCTTCCTGCTGTCGGAGGGCGGCAGTTCCGAGGCGACGGCGCTTTCGCTGTTCTGGTGCTGAAGGTTGAATAAAGTGTCTATCTCGAACTTGCCTTTGGCAGGGATGTCCCCCATCGAGCCGTGCAGGGAGGCGGAAGTGAGCCTCGGGCTGAGGCGGCCGCCGTGCGGCGAGTTTTCGAGGGCTTCCAGCACGGCGCTGCCCGCCGAGTCCGACAGATTCGACAGCCTCTTGCCCGCCGTGGGGCTGTGCAGCCCTCTCTCCATCAGGATCATCTCTTTTCTTATTCTTTCCATCATCGCAGCTTTCTCCCCCCTCCCCTGAAAAAGCGGTCTCTGTCTCGCTCGCTCGCTCGCTCGCTGGCTCGCGGTTCCAAGGGTTGCCCGTCCTAATGAGCGCCCTGCAGCAGGGGCTAATTCGCATTCAGCCCTGCGAGCGTCTCTAAATATTATCACCTCTTTTGGAGGGAGGCGTGAAAAAGAAAAAGAAGAAGAAACGAGAGGTAAAAGCGAAGGGAATGGCTGGTCAAAATGACCCATACATCCTTTCTAGCCCCGAAATGTCATTCATCACAAAAAGGAGCGCTCGTCATTAAGGTACGAATGACGCTGGTCGAATAATCATTTATTGTAACAGGTTTATAAGCAAATAAATACACGATCCTGTCAGCGGATAATGAAGGCGGCTTCTGAGTAGACAAATAGATCCAGGTAGGGCAGCAGGAAGACCAGGAGTGGAGAGCAGGGCGCCTGTCCTCAACTCGATCAGATCTTGCATGGATTGCTCTGGGGTTTGGCCTCTGGGGTGAAATTGACAGTCTGATTAATAAAACGAACTGAGCAACATTTCCCCCTTCATTTAGGTGCATCATTATGCTCTGATTCCCCCCTTCTTTCCTTCCCCACCCCTCTTTGCTTGTATGTGTGTGTGCGTGCGCGCGCGCGCTGGCTTTTTAGCTCCTAACGATGCGGCGTCTTTCTCGTTTGTCCTCCGACAGAAACGCAGGCTAAATGACAGGGGAGGCTTGGATTTCGAGGAAGGCATTTTAGGGAAAACCTCGGGAAGGAGAAAAGCTGCCAAAGGTGGAGGGGGTGAACCCCTCCCCCCACCCCAGCCCACCCCAGCCCAGCCCCAGATTTGGCTGCCTTTTAATCACCTTTCTTTCCTGTTTGAGAAAGCGAATGGGCTTCCTTGGAAAAAAGATCAGCTTGCCCTTTACACACTCGCTGGCACGCGCGCATACGAAACACCCCCTTTTCAGACTTCAGCAACTAACCCGGCGTATACATACCAGCCCAAGATCATCTAAGGCAAAGCGCAGTCCCTGTGTGGAACTCCGAATTGGGATCCCAGGGCGTACAGCGAATTTCCTTAACACATCCACCAACCACGGGTTATTTGGGGCTCCTTTGCTTTTCCTAGAGAGGGGGCTTTCTGTATTCCCGCAACTGCTCTAAAGTCCTTCCTTCTCCTGTGGTTCAAAAATTTCTCTCTAGTTAACTGAGAGAACGAGAGAGAGAGAGAAGTTCCAAGGAATCTTAAAGATATGATTTAAAGCACCAAAGGCGGCAGGGGTCGGGGAGCCTTCGTTCGTTCGTTCGTTCGTTCATTTATTCATTCTCTACCTAGATTTCTCTCCCAGCCTCCTTCTCCTCTTTCAATCGAAGCTCTGTGACTTCTAATTTTGAATTTAATTAATTAATTAATTTTTAAACGGGCAAAGGACATGTTTCGGGGCTTTCAGAAGCTTTTAGGACTGGCAAAGGGTGAGACCCCGGAGGAGTCCCCATGACCATCCCTCCCCCCCCCGTCTCCTCTGCGAAGTTACCTGGCTGTCAGCTCGCCCATCTGTTTCTCCTCTCCCTCTCTCTCTCTCTCTCTCTCTCCCTCTCTCTGTTCCGAGGTGCCGCGGAACGACCAATCTCTCCCAGCGCTTTAAGCGACACCAGGGACAGCGCTTCGCCGGCCTTCCTATCGGAAACTCTCTCGCCCTCTTCAGTGAGATCTTTGATTGCAATCATGACGCCGAGGGCAGCCGCTTAAGCGAAGATAAAGCCCTTGTCATTAGCATCCTGGGAGCGCCTCCTGAGCGCTCCTGCGCGCAGCCTCTGCCAGGCGAGGGAGGCCTGTTTTCGGAGCGTCGCCCCACTTCTCTCCCGCCCCCCTCCACAAACACGCTCTTGATTCCGCAAAAGTTTACACTGCTGACATCGATGGAGAATACAAATACCCCCGTGTCTTTCCCATGATCGAACCATGCCCGCGGCTCTCCACCACGCCCCCAGAATACACCCGTCTCCCAAAAGCGGAGTGCTGCCTCGCGCATCCAACAGTGCGAGCCTATGCGTGTTTAATCCGGAGTCAGTCCCAGTGAATTTAACGAGTTTCACTCCAAGGTAAATGGGCGCAGGTTCGTCGCCCAGGGCTTGTGTACGGAATGAAACACTCAAAACACAATCGATTCCAAGGGAACAGAGGTAAGCCCGCGACTCAATTTCGCCATTAAGACCACTTCCCTGTAACTTGAACGACCGCCTGCCTGCGATCTGTGACCCTTTGTGCCAGGAATCGGGTAGAAACTGGACGTATGAGTTAGCCACAGTGAAAGTACGGTCTGTGTGGTTTCACGGCGGTCGGGGAAGCGTTTCAGCGGGGCGGAGGGCCGCAGGGCCCGCGCCGGAATCCTGCTAGCAGCTCTGGAATACCGGTGCCGCTGCTCTGAGCTGGATTCCGACACACCTCTCTCCTGCAGTCCCTAGGTAAGAGGAGACACGTTTCTAGCTGAAAGGGTTTACTCAGGAGTGACTGTGTGAGGAATAAAAAAAATGTGCCTGGGAAGAAGCCCACAGAGTCTCTCACAAAGACTCCCCTTTGTGGAATCTCGCGTGGAGTCCCTGCTATTAGCCCTAGGTAGAGTAAACCCACATCAATGAATGGGTTTATATGGGACTTACGTCCTATTTATTTATATAGGGTTGCTCTGCCTAAGACTGACCAGGATACTTCCCTAGCACGGTTTGATTCTCAGCGTATTGCTCAGAAGTAACCAAAGCCTTCTACGGACTTTCTCGCGAGTAAAGTTATCAGAGCGGCCTTTGAGGGCCCTGCAGTGGAGGGTTGTTCACCAGATCCAGCCCAGGCTTTCATTACGAGTATTCCGTCAGCCCAGGTGTGAATGCAGCTGCAGCAGCGAAGGGAAGGCCGGGCACAGATGACAACAGGAAGAGGTGAAAACGGCCAGCACACTGGGAGTAGCCCAGGCTCCTGCCGCGGCACAGAAGCCTCAGCCTCTGGGTCGTTCGCGTTGCAAGATCTGCAGGTCTATCTTTCCATCTCCCTGGATGCGCTGTTGTACACACACACTGAAATACTAGCCGGCATTGCTGGGAACTAAGCCATGTCCAATCGACTTGGCAAGCTCCCTTCATCCGAGCGAGTTAGGCGCAGACCTCTTGGTTAGTAACGGGGGGGGGGGGGGGGGCAACAAAACGACGTGCTACTGTCTGCTTCCGAGGGGCCACAATTCCGGCCTCCAGCGGAAACCTCTTCCTCGCCTCTTTGGCTCTGAAGCCGCTCACGTTCTTTCCTGGGATCCAAGGACCCACCCAGAGACTCGAAATTCACCAAACTTCCGCGTGGACGCGTTGCCCGTGGAGCAGGCCTCCTCCGGGCAGTCGCGCCGGCAAAGGAAGAGCAACACCCGGTCGCGGAGCGCATCGGGAGCTACCTAACGGATTTGCGCGTGACTTTGCAAGCGGGGACCGTGGATGAGTCTGTGATGGAAAATCCCCCGTCTCTCACATGCACATGGAGGTATCTGGGGTGAGGAACGGGTCGTAAAAAGCAAAGCGGAAGTCTGCGGGCGGCTTTATTGCTGTCCTCTGGCGCCCCCGTCTGTTTTTCCCCCGAAGCTCTGGTGCCTCCTCTCCCAGCGCACCTCCGTACTTTCAGGAAACACGCGTGTAGGTAGCCACATCTTCGGCGCATAGACACGCCTCTGCTCCAAGGCGAAGCCAGGACGGATTCGGAACCCAGAAGGGCTTCGCCCCCTTGACTGGAAGGAGAATTCCTGTGTGGTGGGGTGGCATTATGAGGATTGATGTTGACACTTTGCAGTGGAAGAGCGGCTGCATTAAGTCTTGCCCGCAAGTTCGCCCAGACTTTCCCCTTTTACTGGTGTCACTTGATATTCTGCACCTTTTAAAGGATACCAGCGCTTGAGTTATGTGAAACGTCTTTCCTTCGTACGAGAGCGAAAGCTTAATCCACCCCATAAAAAGGGCTTTAATCCTCAACCACGGCTGCACCCCTAAGCGCAGTTGCCTGGGAGTAGAGCCCATTTCGCACCCCGGGGTTTACTTCGGAGTAAACACGCAGACGATTACGCAGCGGCGATTAAGTAAGAGGATTGGTCTGAGTGTGCTCCTGCCAGCTGGGCCGCGCTCCCGCCCCCTCTCCCAGAAAGCACACTCTTAATGAAGTCGTTATTTGATATTTCTAGACTCCCAAATTAATTGGCTGGAAGGCTCCCTAGAACGAGCCTTCATTTAGGAAACCATTTCTTGGAGCTCCGCTTTTTCTTTTTTCTTTTTGGTAGCATGTTTGAAAAGGGGAATGTTAGCAGGGAAATGGAAAGGACGGCTTTTGCTTGGGCCGTGTTTACCCAGTTGTTCTTCTAAGTTTTATGTAGCTGCCACGGCCTGAAGCCAAGCTTTTAAATCTCCCCCGCCCTACTTCTAACAAGTTGTTCCCTGCGACATCAAAGCATAGGCGATCCTTGTTTGTTAAGTTTTAATGGAGGGGGTCTCATCCGACTTAATTGAAATGGAGCACATGTTTCAAGTGGACCTAGTCCCCCACCAGCTTTTAGAGAGTCAAAGTGCTCCTAGGAAGAAGGCTGAGTAAATATTTGTTTCCCGTCTTTACTGCGGGTCCTTTGAGGTGAACTGCAGAGCGTTCCTGCGACAGCAGGTAATAAACCCGGCCGTCCCCGCAACGTCTCCGCAGAGAAGCGCGGCTTAACGTTTCGGCGGTGTTTACATCTGTCTAGACCCTCCCAGGCCAGACCTTCGGGATGAACTTGATTTCACCGCGACTGTCGGCGGAGCCTGCAGGGGTCACGGGGAGGGTCAGCCCGCTGGGGCTGCTCCCAGAGCGGGGAGGGAGCGGGGGGTCCGCCCCCGCCCGTCGGGCGAGCAGCCCGCTCAGCGCCCGCAGCCGGCCCGCGGATCGCCCGGGCACGGCGGGCTCTGCGGCTCGGCTCGCCTCGGGCGCAGAGCGGGGCGGCCGCCTCCACGTG